ATCCATCGGCGCCAAGTCTTGCTCAAGCTTCACCGCCATGCGGTCCATCGCTTCAAAACCTCCAACTTGCCCTTCACGCTTGCAACCGGTCTATCAAGCCAAGCCTCATCTTAATCTTCTCCACCTTAGTCACATGACTCAATGTCATGTCTCATATGAAATGAGCTCCTTCATCACATGTGTGAACTAATCACACATGGCATGTGTTGCTCACACAAGTGTTGCTTGTGGGCTAATCACCTGTGTATCTCACATAAACACTAATTAGTCCACCTAGGTTATCACTTAATTACCAAAACCAAACTAGGGACCTTTCACTACCTTGACCATTGCTCATAGCATGAAGCTCCTCCATCATTCCTCCATCAAGCCACTTGATATAAACACAAATAAACTTTTGGCATTATCTCCATGAATGATATGAAGCACTTCATAGCTTCACATGGCCATATTGGTCCATCAATCGTAGCCCTGCTTAATCTTCACCATTGCCTCAGTCCATTGACTTTCAATCCCTCTACTAGCGCTTCAGTGCCTCAACGATTTATCATACCCGAGCCTCTAGCTTGCCCTTCACTCCTGCAACCTATCCTTTGCAGCCAAGCCTCGCCTTGATCTGCTCCACCTAGCCATATGAGACTATGTCATGTCTCATATTCAATAAGCTCTTTCATCTTCACTAGTTGAGCACTTGCATCTTGCACAAGCCATCACTTCTCTTAGCTTTCATTCTTTGCTCAACCTAGTATTGTGTGGACTAAGTACCTATTCATCTCACATGAAACATACTAGTCTACCTAAGGTTGTCACTCAATTACCAAAACTAAACCAAGACTTTCATCTACAATATCACAATACTAAGGCAAAGTAATCAGTAAAATAGGTGACCCTAATAGCAACTACTTTGCTTAGCCTACACACCACAATCCTATGGGGGTGAGCACAATACCCATCACAATCAACTCGATCAGAGCTACCAAACAGTGAACACAAGGTGCTCGATGATCCTCCATAGCTTCAAGCCGTCTAAGTGGTGGCAACCACCAAGAGTAACAAGACATATGCAGCCCAATGATAAACTAGTGCCACTAGATGCAAACACCCTAAGCAAATACACTATATCTCTTCGAAACTCATTTTTGATCAATCTCTAAGCAAGGGAGTGAGTGGGAAGGTTGCTTGAGCTCTCCAAGTGTGTGTATCAGTTAAACTGGCCAAAAGGGTGTGCAAGCCCAAGCACACCCCATATTTATAGCATCCTCACAAATATAGTCGTTGGGGGCTGTGGACTTTCTACGTGGTCACCAGAAATCTCCTATGACCAACAGAGAATACTCACCAGATCTTATATTATGAAGATCCAACGATCAAAATTTGATCTTAGCAAATCACCCATGGCACTTTCTGTGGTGCTCCTGGTGGTGCAACCACTGGAGATTTCTGGTGGCCACCCTGAGCTAGGCCTTCGTAGAAACTAGCCTTTGGAATCCAACAGTACGATGCATTCTCCTATGCAGCAATAGTGCCCATCACCGGAAATCTTGTGATGATAGAACCTTTTTGTTCATCAACACCTAGAGGTCTAGGAGGTCACTAGGTAAGTCTGGTGGCCCCCACCAGGGTTTTCGGTGCTGTGTTTCAAACTTTCCCATGCTGCACAGTCTTCTGCCACATGTACCTATCTCAAGCGCTTTCTTCGATGCCACCTAGGGCAAGACACCAGAAAATTCCGGTGAACCCTCGAGAGCAGACTAAAAAGTCAACTTAGAAGCCCTATTCTTTGGTGCTTCCCTAAGAGAGGCACCAGATAAATCCATTGGGTACAAAAACCCTATACCAAGCCTTATTCTCAAATGTTTTCAAATTTTCTAACTCCAAATGTGTTCCAACTTGAACACAACCACTTAAGCACTAAGTTAGCTTTTCAAAAACATTTTTCAAAGCATTTTCACTTGCTTCCTCATCATGTCACTAGGTCCAATGCATATACAAAGTTAGTTCAAACCTAGTGACACTAGATAACCGTCTTTGCTTTAGAGTTCCCCTCTTAATAGTACGACCATATATCCTAAGCGTAACCATTTACTCTATTGCATCTCGGTCAGCAAAATGAAAACCCCTAGCATATACCTTTACCTTAGGGCTTGTTTTCATCTCCTCCTTCCCAATTCTGAACCTTGCTCCATATGGCTTGATCTCCATCACAAGCATCTCCTAGCCCTGCTCATCACCTTATGTGGACCCTAGCTAAATCATAAATCACTGAAAGCATTAGTCCACTAGTTGTCACTCAATTACCAAAATTAAACTTAGGGCTTTCACCACCAACCCCTGTAACACTATGAACCCAGGAGTGGTTGTAAGGAATGTGGACCTACTTCTCGTGCCAATGCAGCTTCATCGGACTAAATGTCTCAAGCTAATCCATCCCAGTGATCATGTCATAAGTTGTCAATGGAAAGATCTTCAAGTGAGAAGTGAATGGGAATCCCTGAACTGACTACACTACCTTAGGAACATGTGAATCACACTTGACTCTGTTGCCATCGGCCACCTTGACCACCATAGGAGAAGCATGACTCTAAACTCTAGTCAGAGAGACTGCCAAAGCAACACTGACAAAGGAATGAGAACTCCCTGAATCCAACAAGCTCAACATCGAATGCCCTTGTAATTCACCTTGAAACTAAATAGTGCGGGGTGCTGAACCACCTTGAACGACTGATACCAAGATGGTCACAAACAACTAGTTGTCCTAAATCAGAGGCGGATCCCTAGAATATAATGAAGAATCTCCACTTGATCCCCACTTGATAACATACCTCCTGTGGAACATGCACTTCAATATTCTCGAGGAAGCGATGGTCGTGGGACCACTTCTCAGCACACTAGGCACACAGTCCATGAGCACACCGGTAGACACATAAGGCCGCTAGCTTATTGTCAACGCCACAACCTCGACGATCATCAGTCGAAGATGTAGTCAAAGCAGGCTTGTCAAGCCGCGACGACAAAGGCAGAGGCAATGGGCTGCGCAGCACTTGATTCCCACCAAAGGAGAAATCCAGCTCATGGAAGTCCTTCCACTTGGATGGGTCTGCCATCTCTTACTGTAATAAGATGAGAGCACAAGCAGAATCTAGCATCGTGGGACGATACATATGCACAGATAATTTGACATCGTCATGCAAGACATCCACAAAAATGCATCGCATAGTAGAGGGGATTTGTATTTTTCCCATAAGCGATCAACTGATCCACCAACCCAGAGAATTTCTCAATGTAATTCGAGACACTCCTCGGCTGATGAATACTAAAAAGTTGGTGAATCAACAACACATTTGGATCCTTACTAAAATGATCCATAGTAATTGATAAAACTCCACTCAACTAAGACAACAATCATGGGACTCCATCGATTGAAGCCAGCGTGTTGCAAAACAGGACAAGTGCATACACCAAACTTAATCCACATCGATCTCTCGAGGATGTACATGTCAAAGTAATCCTCACACCTACTAATCTAGAGCTTGGGATTATCCTCATCAAAGGATGGAAAATTCAACTTTAGTGTCTTGTTACTCGAGGAACACAAACACTCAAACCCTGGATGAACCCCAAAAGTGCAGACCCCCAAACTATCGAGCATAGGATGGGATGCAGAACATGAAAGCAGGGAATCAGGAAGATCATGCATACTCTTGACAGGGAGACTCCCGATGATGATGTTCGGCGCGGTGCCCAACAAGGTCGATGGCTAGGTTGCTAGCAGATGAGGTTGTTGTAGCCGGCCCTAGTTTGGTGTGAGTGCCCACTGCAGTGGCGGGACTGGAATCGAGAACCACTCAATTCACTTGCTTGCGAAGCACCACGAACTTGAAGCGAATGTCTTTGACCGATGCATCCACGCAAGCTTGCACTGATCGAAGACCTTGGCCGTAGCGTACATGGCGTCGAAGCGGTCTGTCAGTGTCTTCTCAGCGGACTCCATCCACTGCATCAGCGATTCAACAAGTCGATGAAGTCACCGGCGATCGCCTTGAGCTCGTCGATGATCAACTTGACATTGGGATCCATGGCCCCCAACTAGCGGCGGAAGTGGGTGAAGTGATCATGGTGAATGTCGTGTGGCTCTAGACTGGTGACCTCTGATACCAATTTTGTTAGCAACCCTCAACTTGCAGAAGAGGAAAGGAGGGGAGAAGCAAAGGAGGATACGGAGACAACAGGTATAGCTTAGTTTAGTTTGTTCATAGTGCTTGATGATCCATTACACGGCGTGAACGCCCCTTATATCAACACGCAGGTGGCGAGCATGTGTTAGCTCGGCGGACTCCTCGTGCATGCACTTAACCCAACTTGGGCCAAACATGTTCAGTTCAGCATCTTGGGCCTTGGCTGTTGAGACGTCACAAGCCACTCTTCACCTTCTTCATCCCGCGCTCCTCCATAGCGACTGCCTAATCATAGTCGGTAACATCGGTCTGCACTGAGATTGACTCACAATGGTGAGAATGGGAGCAGAGAGGTCATGTTAGCCGTTGGCGTGTTGGTGCTTGGCTTGGCGTGGTGTTGTTGTGGGGCTGCAAAAATGCCGCCGCACTCAAGATCTTTTGGTAGCTCATTATGTAAGAACAGTTCAGAGCAATTCCATAAACACCATGTGGGCACTGCGCTTTTATAGTAACTTAAAGTGGCCACATAATAAGTTATTCTATGGCCAGCTGCAGAACATTAGTTATATATACACACAATTGATTAAAACTATACGTTAATAACCACTTGACATCAATTATGCAACGGTTACTAAAATTAATGGCTAGACGTGCAACCGTCACGTCCGGGTCAAGCACGATGGAGTGTATGGTTGTACTGTGCTTGTGTTGCTGTGACTGGTCGGATGGGTCGAGTGACACGATCGTGGTATGTTTAGTGTAGCAGTGTTCTTTCAGCATATTTGTGTTAGTTTAGTTTCTAATATTGCACTTGGTACAACGCAGGTGGCTCTTTTTTGTGTAAGACCAAAGTGCGCCACTAGTTGCTCCAGTAACTTCTCTCTTCTATATCAAAACCATGACTGCGAAGTTAAGCAGCTAATTATTAAGAACCTTGAGCATGTGGGGAGAGCAGAGGAAGTAGGTGATCATCACGGATTGACCCAATATCAGCAACTGCAGTCACTAAGTTTGATGTGGTCCAGCAGCAGTTTACCAGGAGATTCAAGCATAGTTAATGACATTGCAGTTCTTGAAAAACTCCAGCCTCATGGGAACCTAAAAAAACTTCGAATTGAAGGCTTCAGGGGTGATACGTTTTGCTCTTGGATGGTGAACATAAGTTCTTTCCTCCCAAACCTTGTGATAGTTGAGCTGTCTGACGTGATGAACTGTGAGCACCTCCCTTCATTGGGTCAACTAGAAAACATGGAAGTGCTGCACATCTCAGATATGCCTAGGATCAGCAAAGTGGGTAGCGTTATCTATGGGGGTGCGAGACCATTTAGGAAATTGAGAGAACTTGAAATCAAGAGAATGAAAAACCTGGAGTGGATTACCACACTTGCAACTGATGATGATCAACATCTTCATAGAAGCCGTGAATATGAAATATTTCCTAATCTCCAAGTGCTTGCTATTGTAGACTGCCACAGGCTGAGGTTTGTTCCAGCTTTCCCAGGAAGTCGGAGATGTAACATCAAAAGAAGCAGCGATGTGCTACCATCTGAGCAATACATCGGAAGTTCAGAATTAACATCATGGAGCATGGAAATAGAGGACTGTGCCTTTTCTCCAGAAGATTTCAAATTTCTTAAGAACACTATTAATCTAGAGCAACTCAGTTTTCGTTCCTGCATGAATCTGAGGACCTTGCCACCTACCATGCGGAGCGGCCACTCCCTCAGGACAGTAGAGGTAGTAGATTGTCAGAATTTTTCTGCTCTACCGGAGTGGCTTGGAGAACTCACGTCACTACAGGAGCTGAGAGTGCACGCTGCCAATCTGCAGCTCTTGTCCCAATCGAACCCGTACCTGACTTCTTTGGACACGTTAGTTGTCAACAAGAGGAACATCGGAGGCTCCATCAGCACATCTGAGGTAAATTACTCCCGGTGTTTCAATAATATTGGGGTGGGGTGGGTGGAGGAGATGTTCTCCCGTAATTTTTGTAGTTGATTGATGATGACCATTGTTCGCAAATATTTATATCTATACGCACAGTAGCTCAATGAGGTGATAATAATATTGCTTTGTACTCCCACCGTTCCAAATTATAAGTCGTTTTGATTTCTTTAGTACATACATTTTGCTATACATTTATATATATGTTATGTCTAAAGCATAGCAAATCCTATTGTACCAAAAAAAAATCAAAGCGATTTATAATTTAGAACGATGGAGTATGCATTAACACATTATCGTTAGATAGGGCTTTACATTTTGTTAGACTACATAAATTAATTTCGCACCAGGCTGCTTTGTCCTTACATGGTTGCATCATGGCTAACCACTGTTCCTCGTGTCCCTTGAAAATGCAGTTGCCTGTTCTTTCCTTCCGGAGAAGTGGTTCTAATATAGTCGAACTACATATCGACTATCTTAAAATTAGGGATGATCCTGTTTGGAACGAAGAAGAAGTCCACTTGAAGTACAATACTTTCCTTCGCTTGATGTCACTTACAAACCTTGTGAAACTGGAGATCTGCTGTGTGATAACTGAGCATCTGCAGCTGATGCCTTCACTCACAAACCTTGTGAAGCTGGAGCTCTGCTATGTGCACATTAAGCATCTTCATTTGGATCAAGCACAGAGTCTTGAAGAGCTGCACATTTCATGGATAAAGAGGTGGCAAGTTCGCATCTCGTGCACTGGACCACTTAAGAAACTCAAAAGAATTGTCATGTCAGAATTAAACAACGTGAAGTTGCAAATATCCATGGAGGTGGAGGGGCAGGGTAGCGATGAAAATTTGTTTCCAAGCCTTCAAGATCTGGAGATGTGCTGTTGTTCTAGGCTGAGGTTTGAACCATCAATCCCAAGGAGCGCCAGGTACATCTTATCAGGCAGGGAAGGACAACCAGGCCAAGACCTGTGTCCATCTTTTCATCGAATCATGGGACCATCCATCCCTACGTCATTATCCAAAATGGAGATCAGAGGGTTTTCATCCTTATCATGGGATGGTCTTAGACAATTTGAAATTGGTGAACTGACTATAGACGGCTGCTCTGACGAGGTACCTTTGCCAGAGAGCATTCGGGGATGGACATCCCTCCAGAAACTACAGATATTGAACTGTGAGAGTATTACAATGCTGCCAAGGTGGTTGGGCGAGATTACCTCCCTCCGGGAGCTCAAGGTGGATGCCTACAATATAGTAGCTATACCTGCATGCATACAACAGCTCACCAGTTTGCAGTCCTTGACACTGTCAAAATGTGGAACGTTACTTGTGCAAGGATGCAAATCTGGAAAGGATAAGGAGAAGCTGGAAAGACTTCGAGATCTAGGGGTAGATGTGAGGATAGAGCCGAAAAATATGGTCAAACTACGAATTATACATTCAGAGACCTCTCCGCTACCGTCGTTAGAGTCCACGAATGCTTGGACATTCGAGTCCGGTAAGAGGTTTCCCATTTCCTCCCTTTTCTGAACGTGGAGCACTGCTCCATGTGAATATGTGACCGAGACCAGCTTTCCCACTCTTCAGGGCCTTGAGTCAGAAGAAGGCCGAGGGCTTTGTTCCTGCTCAGTTTCTCCAAGTGGGCGGCGACGAGGGCCAGTTTGCCACTTCTTTCTCCCTGTCGTCCACGGTGAGCTGAAATGTTCAGTTGACAAGAGGTAAATCTTTTTTTTATTAAATATCATAAGCTCCCTTTTCTATGTCCTCCTCTTGTACTGTTGTATACCTCGTTGTTCATGAGTTAGAAGCATAGGTCGGTATGCGTCCAGTCATCAATTTTTGAGTTTTTGACCCTCCTGTGCTTTTATGTTTAATGATTGTGCTGGTACATGTGTCTATAAAATGTTCATATTGTCATCGTTGATGTTGATGAATTCGTAGCATAGATTTAACCTGCTCTGTTCAAGTAGCAACAACGTTGGTGCCATAGTTACTCTGTTCTCTCACCAGCTCTCTCATCCTGTGTGGCTGTGTTTAATACTACATATGTTTCCCTTGTGTGTCAATCTTCTCCAGCGTCAGAGAAGGGACCGCGCGCTGACGGCTGATCTCTGCATCGTGCTAGCCTCCTCTCAACATATGGTATCCATGAGGAATCAACCAACGGACAACAACGGAGATAGCAAAGAATCGAAGGCGAATACAAGGGCAACGTGCTTTGCTATGTTTAAGTTGAACGCCGCGTTTATACGCTAAGGAGTTAGCGTTAGAAATTTAGGCATTTTCATTATCAGTTTAATACAGAAAAATAATATCAGTAGTTCGTGACGGCATATATGTGCATGTGTATATCTTTAACGAACGCTACAGCATGCAGAGATGACATACAGATAAATACAGTAAAAGCGCAGACTACACTAATTAGAAAGATTAGACTGTACCTAGCGGAGGGCCCCATGTCGAGGACATCGGAGGCTCCATTCGCACTAGTCGACATAGTGCGTTGCTCGAAGTCACGGACCACAGTCGGTGCAGGACGATGTTCACAGTGCAGTCCCACGAACGGATCACCAGGAAGAAGACGCCTTGATGTTCCGCAGGCAATCACCAGGAAGAAGACGGAATCCAAGAGCGATCACCACTAGGAAGATGATGTACGTGAACGAGCAGTCGCGGATCGCACCCCAAAAATCTAATCGCCGCACACCCCCGTGCAAGGTTCTCAAGCGAGCGAGGGTTCTGGAGGCACCTGCTCTTCCGCTGCTGCGTGCGCATACAAGTACGGGACGGAGAAGCCAGAAGGCTGCTGAGATGCGGTTTCTCTCGGGAGCGGTTGTGGAAGACGAGATCTGGACTGACGGATGACTGCGGATATATGGCTGCGACGGGAAGAGAGAGAGGTAGCGGAGAATCCTAGGAGACGGAGAAACGGAAGCGAAAAGGACGGTAACTGACGCAATCAGTTCGCCTCCACCATCAAAGGGAGTAACCCCCGTGATTATGTGGATTAAGAGGCAAAAGACTGGCCTCGCTCGCCGCCTGCCTCGCCATGCCACGGCCACGGCCCCGGCCCGGCCGGCGGCGGCGCGCGCGCGTGTGGCACGCCTTTATCCTTTCCTCAGCTTCTCAATTTAGATGAATAATTTCCAACCATATAAGCTGAGTCAACGTTCAGTCAAAATCCCGTATGGTATTAAACCAAACAACGCTTAATGTTACGTACCATAGAGTATTATTTGATTTATTAAATATTATATAGGCCAAGCCCATATAATATCCAACAATCTCCACCAAACTCTAGGGTTTGTAACAAAGTAATCTCAGAACCACATTTCTTTTATATACCAGTGTTTCGATGGAGACTGTTAAGTTGAACATCCATCTAGAGCAATAGTTTCACTCAGTCACAACTGAATAATGGACTATGCCTTGAATTGTCAGTTTTATATGAGGTGAATGTCACTAAAGTCCTTAGCTGATACTTGGCTGCAAAAGGCATTCCCTCTATTTGAAGCATATAAGTCATACTCCAGTGCCTTTCATGAGTATTTAGAGATCACCCAAATCTCATAGACTGTGACCAGCAGCCTGACTCATATAGGTGTGCTCCTCAAAGGATGTTTTGTAGGACAATATCTTTGCTTTAGCAAGCCGCTTGGAACACATTAAGGTAAAAACCAACCTGCCTTACAGATAGGAAATATATGCATCAGAAATGAGTCTTACTAAGGATCTTTCCTCATAATTTACTACTAGCTTATTTCACCATTCTACTTCACAGGATCTCCGATCACATAAAATAGGTTACCACTATAGTAAATTTCAAGTGGGTCTCAAACCCATCTCTCTCGATGCATTTTCTATCACATTGCGTGACAGACCCTTAGCGAATTGATCTGTCAGATTGTTAGACGTGTGAACATAGTCCAACGCTATTACTCTGGAGTTTCTTAATTTTCTGACAAATTTTAATCGTCTCTTAACATGCTTTGTGGACTTCATGTTGTCCTTAGAACTGTTAACCTTTGTAATCACAGTCTGGTTATTGCAGTTCATAGAGATAGCCGGTATGGGTTTTTCAACAACCGGTAAATCCATAAGGAGATCACGAAGCCACTCGGCCACAGAGCCAGCAGTGTCTAATGCTGTGAGTTCTGCTTTCATTGTAGACTTCGTTAAGATAGTCTGCTTATAAGACTTCCAGGAAACATCGCCACCTCCAAGCGAAAACATATATCCACTTATGGCATAAAGCTCATCAGCATTAGAGATCCAGTTGGCATCACAATAGCCTTCCAACACTTTTGGAAATCCGGTATAATGAATACCATAGCTCATGGTGCCTTTTAGATAGCGCAACACCCTCTCAATAGCGCGCCAGTGATCATCTCCCGGGTTTGACACAAACCGACTCAGCTTGCACATAGCAAAAGAGATGTCAGGCCTTGTTGCACTAGCAAGATACATGAGCGAACCAATGATCTAGGAATATCTCAACTAATCCCTTGCTATTCTCTGATTTTTCCTCAATAGCACACTAGGGTCATAAGGTGTAGGAGTAGGTGCACAGTCACTAAACCCAAAGCGACTTAGCACATTTTCCACATAGTGGGATTGTAACAGAGTTACCCCACCATCACCTTCTCTCAGAAGCTTGATATTAAAAATAACATCAGTCTCCCAAATCTTTCATCTCAAAATTATTAGTTAAGAATTCCTTCACCTTCTTGATCACTTTGAGGCTGGATCCAAAGATCAGTATGTCATCAACATATAAGCACAAAATGACTCCTTCACCCCCACCATACCGATAGTACACACATTTGTCAGCTTCATTCACAACAAAGCCAGCAGATGTTAAAGTTCTGTCGAACTTTTCATGCCACTGCTTAGGAGCTTGTTTCAGGCCATATAATGACTTTAATAATTTACACACCTTGCCTTCTTGGCCGTTTGCTACAAACCCATCCGGCTGATCCATATAGATCTCCTCCTCCAACTATCCGTTTAGGAAAGCTATCTTAACGTCCATTTGATGAACAATAAGACCATACAAGGCTGCCAGGGAAAGCAAAACTCGAATTGTGGTCAATCGGGCAACCGGTGAATAAGTATCAAAGAAATCCTCACCTTCCTTTTGAGTATAGCCCTTGGCCACAAGCCTTGCCTTGTACCTCTCGATAGTACCATCAGGCCTAAGCTTTTTTTTGAACACCCATTTGCACCCTATAGGCTTGCACCCATAGGGACGATCAACAATTTTCCAAGTTTCATTAGACATAACAGAATCCATCTCACTCCATACTGCTTCCTTCCATAAGTCAGCATTAGGAGAGGAATATGCCTCTTGAATAGTCGTTGGTGCGTCATCCACAAGGTACATAATATAGTCATCACCAAAAGACTTTGCAGTCCTCTATCTCTTACTTTTTCTTGTGACTATAGTGTCATCCTCCTCAGGATTTTGCATATAGGGTTCCTCAGTTTGTTCTATCAGAATAAAATTTTCATGCTCATGGGGAATTATAAATTTATGACTAGTCGTACTAGGTGCATTTTTCATGGGAAACTCATTCTCAAAAAATGTAGCGTCTCTAGATTCCATGATTGTAGCAATAGCCATCTCAGGAACACTAGAGTTTATGATTAAAAATCTATAACCCACGCTGTGAATAGCATAACCAAGAAAGACACAATCAATAGTCTTTGGTTCAAGTTTTTGCTTTTTTTTATTGGCACATTCACCATTGCCAAACAACCTCAAGTTCGCAGGTAAGAGAGATTTAATCTCTTCTTCTCCTATTCCTCGAATGGTGTAATTTCTTTGTTCTTTGTGGGCACTCTATTCAGGACATGACATGCTGTTAATATAGCCTCACACCACCATTCCTTAGATAGTCCCGTAGTCTCTAACATGACATTTACCAAATCAGTTAGAGTGTGGTTCTTTCTCTCTGCAATCCCATTGGACTGTGGTGAGTATGTTGGCATCCTCTCATGAATAATTTCATACACCGTGTAAAACTAAAAAAAAATTATTTGAGAAATATTCTCCACCGCGATTGGACTGCAAACGCTTGATTTTCTTCTCAAGTTGATTTTCTACCTCAGCTTTATAGACTATAAAATAATGCAACGCTTCATCTTTAGTTTTCAATAAATACACGTAGCAAAATCTAGTACAATCATCTATAAATGTTATGAAGTATCGTCTACCGTCTTTAGTCAATTCATCATTCATTTTGCATAAATCAGAATGAATGAGTTCTAATGGTGCCAAGTTCCTCGCCTCAGTAACCTTGTGAGGCTTGCGCGGTTGCTTCGATTGTATACACACCTGACACTTAGAATCTTTGACTAAGTTAAATTTTAGGATTAAATTCAGATTTGCAAGCCGCGTGAGACAACCAAAATTAATGTGACAAAGTCGTGAATGCCATATATTCGACTCATCCAAAATATTAACATTGTTCACCACTTTATTACATACATCATCAAGCAAAGATAAACGGAACAAGCCTCCGCAATCATAACATTTTCCAACAAATGTTCCATGTCTCGACACAACACATTTATTGGACTCAAGCATAATTTTAAAGCCATCGTGACACATCTGAGAAGCGCTAACAAGATTCTTTTTGATGAAGGGGACATGCTGCACGTTCTTTAACAGCACCGTTTTTTCCGAAGTAAACTTCA